TGCTCCATTGATTAGAGCGATAACATATTTGCTGTGCAACATGCAAAGCTGACACCCAACATGCATCCTGTGGGTTTTAGCCATAAGGCACAAATCCATTTTTGAAATAACGTGAGCGTACTGTACTACTACTCTTGTACTACTCTTGTAGTTCTTGGTAGAATTTTATCTTGTGTTTGTTGTAAAAGGCATTTGGGTCATTTTTGTATGTTTTGTAAATATTTTTGCACTGCACCTTGGGCTGGCTGGCTGTGAATAAATTCCTCCATTGCTGGATTTTTTGACTATGCCTGTGCTTTTTCACAACAGCTACCACCTTCTCTTTTTGGCAGAAAGACAGAGAGACAGAGTAGGAAAGAGAGTAAAAACACATCTACAGTAGACAGAAGTGGAAACAGAAAATAATGATTTTCAACATGACAGCGCAATCCACTCACAAAACTAAAATGAATTTAGACCACTACTGACAACACCTGTTGGTCTTAAAATGAAAGGAAATGTAAAGTGAAAAACTGCTTTCTGTTCAGTGAGGAGCATCTCTGTTTGTTATATTTGCAATGTGTGGAAAATAACCAGTGAATGTTTGGTCGCATTTCCCAATAAAGATGACATAATCAACATTCTCTAATCAAAATTGGAGGGGCCATCTGCTGTTTATAAGGAAAACCAACTGGGAGGGAAAAGCCGGGAATATATTCAATGACAGGAGAGGTCATGTGAAACTGGCTGAACGTTTGATGGTGAGCTCTGACTCCACTGGGCCTTCCTTTCCCTGAAAGTCAATGTGATAAAAAAAAAGGATTTCTTTCTGTTGCAGCACTAAGGGCTGGGAGCAGAAAAATGTGGAAGTGTTTATTTTAACCACTTTTAAATTCTTATCATGCAAATTGTTACTGGGCAGGAGTGTCTCTTAAAATCATAAAAGCTTCTTATAAGCATTTTTCTTGTCAGGAGAGCGCAGCATCTGATTAACAGAGAATTTGCTGATCTGTGGGCAGGCCTAATGAGAATCCTCTGAACCAGGCTTTGAGAGAGGTGTGAACTATCTGTCAATGAAGGATACTATTCGTTATGATTTAGTGATGCCTCAGTTAGTCTATGTTCTGCACCCATGGTTCAGTTAAATGAAATTTGTCTTGTTACTGGGCAGCATGCTTATGTGATGTCTCCACAGGGCCTCAAACCCTTTAACACCAAGGAAATCCTCTTTTTGGGCTCTATTTTTGTGCCCGCTGGCAACGTGACTGAGGGTGGCACCCTGCGCAGTGGTATTTAAGTCCGGCAGAGCCCGGCGCATACAGCCAGTTTGGTATTTTGGTAGACTGAGGTGCACCGTGGTCCGCCAAGCTGGGCATGGCGGCATGGTGGGGGGAAGTGTCGCAGTGACATTTTTGTGTCCACCGGCGGCGTAGAAAGTGTGCTGAAAGCTCGCGGATTCAAACCATTTGATCTTTCCAAACCACGTCTTTTGTGATTTTTTTTTTTTCTGTCAGTGAGACAAAGGTGGACACATACGTAATTTACATTTGTATGTTGTTTCCTTCTCCATTTTTGCCAGCGCACTCCGCCGTAAGTGTGCATCAGCGCAGAACAGTCCACTCGCCCTCCGCTCTCCATGGTTTGGGACGGCCTCCAACATGGCCTCCGCAGGGACGTGCAAACAGAGGAGAAATGTGGGGTGAGTGTGTAGGGGACGGTTTAGGATTGGGCCCTGGTCAGCCTTCAGCACAGGCAGAGCGCAGCTGGCCTGGTGGTTTTTTGGTATACCAGCGATGTAGTGCGCATACGTCACCAATGCCTCACAGGCAGGTTTCAACAATGTCCGGCACATTTCAGTGCAATAAATAATCGACAACCAATATTCAGTGCAACTATCTGAGTCAGCATGTACATTTAGATCGATATTGATATATTCTGATCTATATCATATGTATAGTGCGCGTTTGGCAGGTGGTTGGACACTTGACCTGACTGAATTAACACAACTGAAACCGTATTAAATTAAATATCCAGTAAATAGTCACACATGATGGAGTTAACAAGATATTTAATTTGTCCCTCGCCCCCTTTCTCTTTTCCTCTTCTTTTTCGCGCAGCTCGACTCGGATGTGTCTGTGTCCTTTACCCGTTCTGCTACCAAAATACCAAAGTGTGCTTGGGCACGCCTCATCGGTGCACAGGACCTGACTTACGCCACACCTATGCCATGCCACCGGCGAGGCATGAAAATAGAGCCCTTTATCTCTGTTGCTAACATACTAAACAGACACAGGCCTGAAATCCTGCACAAACAGGATCCTATTAACATTTACTGATGCAAAGATGTCAGAATGAGGAGTTGTAGGTGAGCATGCACATTGTGCACATTAGGAATTAATGCCTTGCTCAAGGGCACCTTGGCAGGACTCAGGGGATTAATTAGTAATCTCTCCAAAAATCAATCTCAATTCCTACACTTAGAGCCTCAGCTTGAATGGCAGATGTTTGTCCCGTGCAGAGCCACCATATATTTCAGATCTCTGCTGAATGCAGCCTGATGTCTGGCCACTCCCCCACTAGAATCCTATAGTTAGTAGTTTTTGTCTTTTTTCATTTATTTGTCTCATTCACTCAATTTGGTCTATTTCAACTTTTGGATTAGCCTTTTTGTATGTGTATTTGCACCTGTATGCTGTGTTTGCTTTCTCCTTCTCCATAGAGGTTTTCTTTGACTTCATGTTTTGCTCCTTTTGCCTGTATTAGTTTGGTCTTAGCTTACACTCACTAGTTTGGAAATAACTTTACTTTTTTCTTTTGTCAATTTACTAAGTTAGTGTAACCACCTGGGCTGTTTGTGTCCTGATTGGTTGACTGTTTAATTCTTAATTTTACATTTTTTTTCTTCAGCAGCTGAGTGTTGCTTCATCAGGAGGGTCCACCCCCTTTTGCATGTGGGTTAAGTGCACTGGGAGACATGTAGACTGTACCTATGTTTGCTGTGAGGAGTGTGAGGTTGTGAGTCTGTGGTTGCATCCCTGCACTTTATAGTCTACCTCTCAGTGCTGACCGTGGCTTGGTTTGGTCCAGTTTAGAGTAGTCCAGGTACTGGCAGCATTTTTTAGTTCTGACCAGGATATATTTTATCATAGGCCCTTTTTTTAAAATAATATTATAATCAAGGATTGTTTTTTGTCTTCCTTTTTTTTGATGCAACTTTTAAATTGTCTATTTTTTTTTACAGCATCAGTCCAGATTAGCAGTGATTTATTTTCTTTTGATGAATATAATTAAATGTTTGCCTTCTTTTGGAAACTCATCTCTGACTCCTCAGTTTAAACCAGTGTGGCATTGGTGGTTAAACCAATGGTTTAACCACCAATGGTGGTTAAAAAGTTATATTTTAGTTTATTTTACTACTACCTTGCCACACTATCAACCCTCAGTTTCCTATTCAAGCCTCCCAGATGTTTACCATTTTAATTACACGCCAGAACCTAAATTTCTTCCTAAACTGATGAGGAGTCACCTGAATTAGAGATACTACAAATAACACCATATTATGGACACTGTTTTTATTAGTTTTATTTATTAGTAGCTACTGTGTCCGATATGCAGCTATGAAACTACGAAGACTGGTTTGACAATTTAGATACTACCCAAAACTGAGGCTGAGGTACATGCACACATCACACACAGCAACAACAGCCGACAGCGATACAGCTAAGAGGACAGTGCAAAGGGAAATATGGGGTGTAATGTAGGAGTGGAATATTAAAATGAATATTAAATCCAGTCCCTTGCTGATAAAATCGATATGCATTTTTTTGAATCTGCTTGAAACCAACCCAAAAGATCCCTGTATTTAAGGTTAAGAATAATGTCCTTCTGAGGTGGGCTGAACACATTGATAGTATGCTTAGTCAGGACTACAATGGAGTCCTCAGTGTCTCGAGGGAACTGAAAAATCCTGTCTTATCACAAAGGCATACACAGATCTATGTGAAAGCTGCATTTCATGTGAGCCTATCTGGAGATCTGTGGAAATTATCAACCTGTTGGGATCCATTTTATCCTTCTGGAGTGAACAGTCATAGACACTGGCCCATTTAACTGAGGGGCTGATCTACAATGAGAGGTTTTATCAGAGAGAAATCCCTTAGCCCTGATACTGTCCCTGCTGAGCTACTGAGGAACGGGTGATGCATGTATGCACACACTGTACCAGTACATTACCAAGGCCTGGACTGATAAGAACATCACACAGCAATAGGGAGATGTAAACACAGTTATCGTCTATAAGAACACAGACAACAAGGCCATCTGCATCAGAGTAAGGAAATATAATCATTTAAAGTCAGTTCTGCTTGAATCACATGGTGGAAGCAGGAGGGAGACAACATTATCTTTACAGGTCCTTTGTCAGAACTTGTTTATGATCAGGTTTAGATATCTAAATCATTCTGGAAACAATATGAAATCTACTTCAGGTTATTCAGACCGCACAGTGATATCACTTCTGACCTGTTCATGTTTTCACAGGTGCGGAGATAGAGGTGTGAATAACTGCTCTTTGACATCTTCTCACTGCATACAAAATTTAGCACGGGGTGGTGGTGGACTCTGGACTGGATGGCAATGTCCAAAAAATTAGACGCTATCCAGCTTATATCCAGGGTCCATGATGTCTTGTGTAAATTATGGACGTGTCTTCCGGCGCTAACTGTACGCTGATCGTGATTATTAGAACCATCAAGGATAAAAACATTCTGTGACATTGTCTATCACACCTTAAACGAGACAATGTTATCATTCTGTTGCCCTCCTCTATGGAGGAGTGGGAGGACAATATGAAGAAATGGCCTCAAATGACATGTACTAGCATTTTTAGCTACTTTGTCAGCTCTGTTGCTGTAGATGGAGAGGCGAATGCTTATCAGTACTTAGCTACATGGTCAGTTGCGTTTTGTTGAAATATGTTAGACACAATCCTTTGTTCTTAAAAGCAGATGTAGAGCCGAGTCTATTATCTAAACATGTCACATTTTGTTTTTTAACTTGGGTGCTGAGAGGATTTCTTGATTTGTGAAGCAAGCTTCAAGTAAACCTCTCAGCACCCAAGTTAAAAAACAAAATGTGACATGTTTAGAGCCTGGTTCACTGAAACATTTTTAGCTGAATGATGACCAACTATGCATTTTGTGTTATTGGGGTCTCAGCTAAATTTGCAGGCAGGTTGTAGCTGTTTTCTTGGAGGTTTACAGCCCACCTTAGCCCCCCACTTTTGTCCAATTTTAGGCTGACTGATGTTTAAATAGTCACAGAGACTCCCACCAGGACATATTCAATGAGAATTTAGAAAAATGTCAGCATATATACTGCAGCTGTTTATGAGCTCAGAGTGTTGTCTGGGACAGAAGGCCTAAGATATTTTTCAACAGCAGCTGTAACCATTCATTGAATGTCTTGTTAACACAGTTTTCTGTTCTCTGAATTCACCTTTGTTGGACAGAACCGGAACAACGACCAGAGAAAAAGGGGATCCAAAAGCAGAACACAGGCACAGGTGGTAAACGCTTTATTTTGGATAAAACACCTGCAGGTAAACAGCAGAGGAAGAGGGAGAAGTTTCTGCTGTTCCAGCACAAACAAGGAGGTGCAGGCGGGCTGAAGAGCTTATTAATCTATCAGCACGATGATCGGGCACAGAGAGGAGATGAGGATTGGGGAAGAAAAGTTTAGCAATACAGACAGCAAATTATTAGCAAAGAAGAAAAGCAGTGATACAGCTGAGTACGTACCAGAACTGTAGACTTAAGGGGTGTGTAAGGAGCCAACACCTGCACCCACATGCGCACACACACACATACACACACACACTAAGGGCTCTATTTCCTTGACTGCCGGCGGCGCGGTGGAGGGTGGCGGACCCCGCGCAGGACGCCATCTGCAGCGCTTACAGCGACACTTATTGAGGGGCTGCCTTCTGTCCCCATTGTGTGGCATTACTGTCTTCAGCCATCTCTTGATCTCTTTGACTACTTCACGGAAATTGTAATACGCCTCGCCAGTGGCGGATTTAAAGTTGAGGACAAGAGCTGATCTGATTGGCGAAAACAGGTCTCGGCTGTGTTAAATCCACTCCATGCCCTCTCTACGGCTTACGCTGCTGGGAGGAGCTGAGTTAGGATAGGGGGATACTTACTCCGAGCTGCGCCGCTCACCAAAATACCAATATGTGCTTGGGCACGCCTTGTCGGCGTGGTGGACCTGACTTATGCCGCGCCTATGCCACACCGCCGGTGTGGAAAAATAGTAAAAATAGAGCCCAAGAGTTAAATGCCACAGTTATGTATGGACTGCACTCTAGAGTAGCCTGGCCCCTAAGAAGGTGTTCAGATAAAGGTCAGAGAATGATGTTTGTAGCAGCAGGGAGGTCACAAACTAAAGAAAAAGGAAAGTTTATAGTAACGCTGACTCAGTAATCCACATGAACTTTTTTAAGGAACCAACCATCCTTTGTCGCTGATACCAACCAAACATAAATAAAACTCAACAGAGGAGCAGAGCTCGAACTCTCATTCACAGTGACTCCTCTCAAACAAGGCTGGAAGGCTTGGCAGTTCAGCGAATAGCTGAGCTTACCCGGGTTCGTCTTTCCTGCCATGGGAACTAGTCCATCTCTCTTTGAAAATTCTCTTTTATTATTTCATCAAACCACACTTCAGGTCAGGGCTAGCTATTGAACTTAATTATATCTTCAGCAGTGCTTAGCTCGTAATACAGTACACCAGTGATTCATCATTAGACATGAGTGTTACCGCTGTGTTTATAGGTTAACAGGACCCACTCTGATTTCCAGGACATCCCAGAGCCCCCATTATTCATACACATGGAGCCAAATTGTAATCACTGTAAACCTCCCTGGTATCTGATGAAAACAAAATAAAATTTAGATTATGATCTCAGAGATAAGAGACAGGACGGTTACTTGCAGATCCATCCTTCGGTTTGGAACTTCAAACTTCATGCAGACTGGAGCTGCTGCTAATGCAGGCTGGGTGGCCTGTGGTTTGTGAAGTACAAGCCCATTGTTACCCAGCATTGTTTTACTTTTTGGACATTGACATTTTTTGCTAAGCGCTCGATGATTTAATGAGCACCATAAAAACTGTAGTAGTATAGCCTAGTGTACTATAACCCTCAAACAATTTCAGTTTAGGACATTAGGAACATTGGCTGGTTATTTTAACCAACAGAATTTTGTGTGGCTGCAACATATACGAAGAACAATAAACCATATCCAATCTTGAGGATTAGTCACATGTGGAACAAGAGGTATGAAGGAACTTTTTTTCCAGTCTACAGCCAAAGAATCTGCAAAAATCATTATACATTTTCTGTTACAGTACTTTACAGGATCATTCCTGTCCAGCCTCCACGAGCCACTGAAGGTTTTCTCTGTTTACCAGCAGTCCTGTTTGATCCTGTGGCAATTTCCCCTGTAAGATGTTGTGTTGAGCTCAAAGTTACATTTGGCTGCCTGGAGATTGTAGACAAATTCTTGAGCAATGGCAGTTTTATATATTCAAACACCTGGAGAAGGATACAGGAAACCAGAGAGTAACTTGTTAAACATGGATGTTTTTTCTTCTGTCTGGTAAGTAACACAAAAGCCTGAGAAATCTCAGCTTAATTAGACAGATCAGTGTGGGAAAAGCTGTCTCACAAAGACAATATGAATAAGTAGAAATGATACACAAATGACGGCGATGGCCCTTCTTCATGTGGTCAGGGTGGTTGTTCTTTGGGCTTACCGTTCTTTGCTATCCAGATGCAATCACTGAAACACTCACAGTATGAGCTTTTTTATTAGACCACATAAAATAAACAGACCCACTGAGTGTTTTAAATAAATGCAATTTGCTGCTTTGCTCCTTTCCAGGCTGCATCTTGTGTTCAGCCTGTTGTAGGTTAATTTGCCAAATCAACTGAAAAACAGAAAAATCTAATGGAAAACACTGCCCTGGCATCCACACAGCATACCAGTGGTCGTCTGAACTATGAGAGCTCTTTCATGTGGTGATTGCACGGTTTCAGTTGGAAATTTAGTTTCCGCAACCAGGAGGCTCTTTTCAGTTATGTGCCTTCCTTAATTTATCTCTATTTCCTTCAGCTTGTTGCCTAGATTACCAATGTTTTATTTTTTCCACACTACAAACCATATATAGGTACATGTGCTGTGTGATATGAACTGTTTGTCCAAATACCTTTTGGACAAAAAAGCATGGTAACTCAAGTCAAATATTTATATGCATAATCACTGTTTGTGTGTGTGTGTGTGTGTGTGTGTGTGTGTGTGTGTGTGTGTGTGTGTGTGTGTATGTGTGTGTGTGTGCGTGTTAGCCTTCTTCCTTCAGTCCTGTCCGTCCTGATGCAGTGGTAGACCTCTATACATACATAAGGCCAAAACACGGCTTAACAAGGGGGTCAGCTCATGAAGGACATTACAGGAAAGAAAGGATTGTAGGAAGGAAGGAAAAAAGGATGATAGAAAGGGAGGAAAGGAGGGGGGAGGGAGGAAAAGAAGGCAGGAGGAAGGATGTGACGAGAGGAAGGGATGCAAGTGGAAGAAAAGAAGGGAGACAGGAAATCATGAAGGACATCAAAGTCCCACTCTGATCATTTATTTTTTACTACATAAATTGTTCTCAGTGGTCTTTAAATTGTGATTATGAAGTTTTTAGCCAGAATCACATTACCTGTTTCATTTTCAAGGGCTTTTCTTCTGCAGAGCTCCAGTAGCTTTTTAGCAATTCACCTCTAAGTTGTAGGTGGAGTCAGCGCTGCTCTGCACACTCGTCTTCATGCTAGCTTGCAGCCTAACATTGCTGGTGTAGAAGAGGTTGCAGGTAGCATAGGAGCTATTCAGCTCTGAGACACTTTGGGGACATGATGAAAGTTAATATCATAATTAGCTTTCTTATGAGCATTGCTATCCTCTAACGCACATGCTTGTTCTGCGATCGCCCTCTTTACATCTCCAAGTCTGGCCTGCATAGCGGGGCTTCAGGGGTGGAGCTTGGATTTGTGATGTAGGAAATCTCACTGTGTCTGAGCCTGCAGTTTGGGCCTGCCAGAGGTTCACAGTGGTTTGATTGCAGAAATACTCAGAAATGCAATTTTGCACTTATTTTTCTCATAATATGTCCTGTAGCTTCAGAAAAATGCCATATGAACATGTAGACAACAAGAAAAACAAGATTTTCATTGGAGTGGATCTTTAAGGGAGACCATAGTCCCTTTTGGTCGGGCCACCAAATCTTCTCACTGCACACTGCTAGTAAGCCTGTGTCTGCCACACTGATTCCTTATACTTTCATAACATGACCGTACTCTCTCATGGTTTTTAGGCGGACAGAAACAGCAGATTGGATGTAAACACTACACAACCAGCTGCTGTATTTTCACTCAGCTTTAAGTGTGCAGAGTGGCCCCGTTGATACATCAAGCTGTCTACTGGAGAGAGATATCAGCTCTGATGTAGTCACAGGCAGTTCAGGACAAGCTGGAGAGCTTGACAGATCTGTTGTTTAAGTATTCTGACATCTGTCTGCAGAGAGTTACTGCCTAACTGTAATTTTTGCCATAATGTGATTTATTTGCAAGCTCCTGTTCTACCTGCTGTCAAATATGTGTTTCTTGTTGTTTCCTAAATCTCCACCATGCACTCACATCCTCCCTGGTTTTGGTCAACAGTATTGGAAGTTTTTCCTTTTTTTTTTTTTTTTTACCTGCACCCCTATATAAAAACAATCCTCACAGTTAAAGCTACTGAGAAACTCTAGAGTTGACCAAAAGGATAAAAGTCATAATCCCAGACTTTCATAGGAGAATCAATTTAACCACACACATAAATGATCCAATCGTGTCATTTGCCTGTAAATCTAAGTAATCTGCCTCATTTTGTTGCAGTTAGGTAACTAACATTGAGTCAACACAACAAATGTAAATCTTTACTTGGGTTGTGGCGCAGTGTTTTCTTATGATATTCATTTCTTATAAATTATCACATTTAAGCATGCAACTACCACAGCTGTTTTGTAGCTGTATTGGCCTGCAGTCTTCATCCCTCTGAAAATAACTAT